GGATATGAGCTCAGAAGATCCTGCCAAGGATATTCTTAACTCAGGGCTCTCTCCAGGGACAGCATGCCAGACATGCTTTGTTATTAATCATCAGCTAAGTGTGAACTCTTGAAATGTAAGTAAGAAAAGCAGTGTATAAAGCAACAGCTACATAACTGGACTTAAATTAAAACTGACATTCAAATCATAGCCTGCTCAATCACACTATTACTATTATTATTATTAATATTCAATGATGACATTCATATTAAAATGAACCGTCGTAATTCGACTTCTTATCAATTAGAAATTATCAGACTGGAGGTTTTGAATATCAGAAAATAGACTTTTAAAGAAAATAGCCGAGAAAGAGCAGAGCAGAGCCCAGAGCATTCTGAAGTCTCTCCTGGACAATTCCTATATCTGGTTCTCTCTTTCCAAAGTCTCTCCTGCTCCTTCTAGTTTCTGTGTGTTTCCAAAATCTTTATACAGGTTATTTGACACACCCCTAGGTGTCTCTTTTTAACTCTTGACCATTTTTGAATAGGTTTTCTAGTCTAAGGGGTCCTGTTATTCTTGGCTCTCAGCCCACTAGCTCATGTCAACAGAGATGTTACAGGTCTATGTCGGCAAAGTATAGATGCAACTTATGCAAAGGAACTAAGTGTTTACATACATTGTCATGATAGGATAATAACTTTATAATGTTACTCATTCTAACTTCTGACACATATAGCTTCATACAAGTATTTAACATGTATAATCAGTGCTTTACATATTCAGTTATTCTACACAATCATTCTTTAGCATCATAGCCTTCTCCTAGTGTTGCTCCTGTGCAGACATACTCATCTTACACAGACACATCACTGTATTTTTAACACACGCTGGCATGTTTGCTGCAAACACTCCATACATTTTGAGAAGAGAAAATGAACTGCTTTACACTTAGAAAATACTTCACACAGAGAGAATAAAATCTTCTTCACTAGCTCTCTGCTACTCTCACATGGTCGCCCACTAAAGCTAAGCAGGGCTGCACCTGGTCAGACACTGGACGTGGGAGACCACATGGGAAAGCTAGGTTGCTGCCAGAAGTTGTGTTAGTGAGGCCAGCAGGGGACGCTCAATCTGCTGTCTGGAAGTCCTAACACCCCAGTATAGTGAAGGGGCGTCGTCTTTCGGAAGAGATGTTAAACTGACAACCTGAGGTTGTTAAAAATCCCAGAAAGTCCTTCAAAAAAAGAGTTGGGGTTTAAGTAGAGGTCACTCGGTTTTCTCATGGTGGAGATATATCCAGCTGCAGGCCCACAGAACCACACACGTTTTAGGCACACACAATCTAGGACACACGATTTAGGCAAACCATACATGGTAACTAACTCTTTAGCATTATCGCCACCTATTGAATTTCATAAGTATGGTTTCCCATTTCAGTCATTACTATTATTATTATGTCGTAACGATCATTTTAACATCTCTGCAATTTCTGAACTCAAATTATGTAAATAAAAATAATTGGTTAAAGACACGCATGACTTTATTCACGTGTCCACATACACAAAGAAAACATTATAGACCGTCTAATTGTTGGATTAAGTGTAATAAACTAATTCAAGCTCTTAATATGATCATACTTGGTTAAAATCACTTTGTTGTCAAATATAAAAAGCAAACAATAATATGTTACTTTAAAAAAAAATTAGCCTACTATAGTTAATCATTTAAACAATATATATAGTTATAAACTGATTATCTTAACTGATTATAATTATATATATATATATATATATATATATATATATATATATATATATATATATATATATATATATATATAAACTACTATCTTTTACTAAACTTACATATATATATGTAACAGCTGTGACAGTTTAGTAAAAGATAGTAGTTTATATATAAACTTATAATTATAATCAGTATGTATGTATGCTAAATTTTGGTTTAAAAACAATGTATTGCTTACTATAAATTACTACAGTATTAAATGTGGGAAATCATTAAAAGGTTATTAGAAAATTAAGCTAATAAACACTATTAAATAGCTTGAGTAAAATATTAATGTAGTGTTATACATTTGTTACATGTAAAAAGATTTTTATTACATATAATGTATTATTGCCTATATTAACTTTTTATTATTTCCTTCATCATAAATAATCAATTATATAAATTAATCCAAATTAGATCGTTCAGCAAGGTCAGCAAACGAGTATCTGCCATATTATTGTCAGATAATAATGACTGATCAGCTATAATGACTAATTAAAAACTTGGTCAGTCTATTATATTGAATGGCGATCGGAAACAATGCTCCCTATTCAGCCGTCTCAATCGCAATATTTGTAAAATAAAGTAAACACTATTGTTTATTGTGTACAATATTTATTTATCATATATATCAAAATATATCGATGAAGATGTTCAAAAAGACGTTAATAACATTAACATCCGTCGTGACCATATATGGCTTGCCTAGATTGTGTGTGCCTAAAACGTGTGTTGTTCTGCAGGCCTGCAGCTGGATATTATTGTGGTCTGGTGTGCAGTCTATGGCTGCTATCACATCATCCTGGTCGATGCTGCCCATGGTGGATGAGGAGACTCCCCCCAAAAATGACTGATGAATTTTTCAAGAATTTTTAGATAATATGTTTTTCTTTTCCTATATCTCTAAACCACTTATTCCTGAAAGTTTTCCATATGTGTGATTTTCTTTGACATTTTGTTTGCTATTACATATTCTGTTTTAAACCGGGGAACATTAAAGTGCACACACACTTTACATATAACAATGTTATGCAATCCTAAAAACAATTCATTAATAATAAATAAAACATGAACTATAAATGACTGCAGTTATGGTCAATTAATGACACTTATTAGCCTTTTGCTAAATTAAACTCACCTCTGGGTCTCTGTCTAATCATTTACTATGGTATAACACAATACAAAGTTCAGGTATACACACAGTGGGCCAGACTACACTTCAAGCTAAACACTAGTTGGTTAGTTAGCATAGACATAAGCAGCACGAGCAGGCGTTTTGCAATATATACAATATTTATTCAAAAACAACAAACAGGAAGTGATAACCATCACATATAGCCCACAAATATTGTGGAGGCAGTGTGAACACCATTACAGGGAGATGACACAGGAGGAAAATATTTCTGCTTTATATATATTAATTAAAAAAAAGGAAAAAAAAAAAAGATTCATGATAAAACAGACAAATGTGCTGTAAGTGCTGAGCAGAACGTTCTGGGTATGAAATGCTTCCTATAGCATTCTCTTTGCACAAAATGCCATAGTAGTTTATCACAGAGTTGTGAGGAAGTCAATAATTCTAGAGTCTTGAGTTTCTACAGTAAACATGTCAGTTAAAGGGCAGATCACACAAATAGGAACTTGCTGTAATCATTTGCTCACTCTCATGTCTCTCTAAACCCATAAAACGTGCACTCTTCCCTGAAATATATAAGAAGAATATTAATTTAGGTCATTAAGCAGTCAATGGAATCAAAAGAAATGAAATAATCCCAGTTTGAAACGGCTTGACGGTGAGTATCAATGGTTCTAAGAAAAAACGAAATGCTCTTTGTAGTACAAAACTGTTCTTTAGATTATTAAAAGAGTCTGCACTCGGTTTGTCACGATACTGGAATTCCATATTAATTAGTACTGAAGTTTTAAAAACTTCCATTTGAAGCGTTTTAAAGGGGAGATTCATCAGCAGATCGCCCGTATGTCAGCTTATAGACAAACCAGCTAACCAACATGTCTTTGTAATGCTCCAGTGTCCCTATATCTGTGATTACACTCAGTAAACAGCGGTGAGTTCGGTGAACTGGTGACCTTCATGGCCAATCCCAGTCATTTCTGTTGAAGACGTTAACACAATGGCAAATTAGCACTGCTTAATAATGTCCTCAACAGCACTTAAATGGTCGCAGGAAATGGACATTTTTAAGACTTCAGTAACGACTGGTATCGAATTCCAGTATCGTGACAACCCCATACTGAAATCCGGTACAAATCAATATATCCAGTACATTTCCCACTAACATTTGAGCGCTGTTGAGCTCGTTCTTAATCAGCGCTGATTTGCAATTGTGTTGATGTGCTCAACAGAAATGACTGTGATTGGCCGTGAAGGTCATCAGTTCATCAAACTCACCCATTTACTCAGTTTAACCACAGATACAGGGACATTGGAGTGTTTTAAAGTCACGTCGATCAGCTGGTTTGTCTATAAGCTGACATAAGAGTAATCCACTGATGAATCACAGCTATCAAACCCACAAGTGTCCCTGTATCTGCGATTACACTCAGTAAACAGAGGTGAGATCGGTGAACTGGTGACCTTCACGGCCAATCACAGAGCACTTGAACACAATGGCAAATCAGCGCTGCCTAATAATGTCCTCAACAGCGCTTAAATGGTTGTAGGAAATGGACATTTTTAAGACTTCCGTACCGACTGGTATCGAATTCCAGTATCGTGACAACCCCATACTGAAATCCGGAACAAATCAATACATTCAGTACATTTCCCACCAACATTTGAGCGCTGTTGAGCTCGTTCTTAATCAGCGCTGATTTGCAATTGTGTTGATGTGCTCAACAGAAATGACTGTGATTGGCCGTGTAGATCATCAGTTCATCAAACTCACCCATTTACTCAGTTTAACCACAGATACAGGGACATTTGAGTGTTTTAAAGTCACATCGATCAGCTGGTTTGCCTATAAACTGACATAAGAGTAATCCACTGATGAATCGCAGCTATCAAACCCTATCTATCTCTTAGCTATCATACAGCTAAGTGTCCTTGACTCTGTGATTACACTCAGTAAACAGCGGTGAGTTCAGTAAACTGGTGACCTTCACGGCCAATCACAGTCATTTCTGTTGAGCACATGAACACAATGGCAAATCAGCGCTGCTTAATAACGTGCTCCACAGCGATTTATTGTTAGAAGGAAATGGACGTTTTCAAAATTGGTATCGAATTCCAGTATCGTGACAACCCCCTATACTGAAATTCGGTACAAATCAATACATAGAGTCCATTTCCCACTAACATTTGAGCGCTGTTTAACACATTCTTAAACAGCACTGATTTCCAATTGTGTTGATGTGCTCAACAGAAATGACTGTGATTGGCTGTGAAGGTCATCAGTTCATCAAACTCACCCGTTTCCTTAGAGCACAGGTGTCAAACTCCGTTCCAAAAAGGCCGCAGCTCTGCACAGTATAGTTCCAACCCTAATTAAACACACCTGATCAAACTAATCGAGTCCTTCAGGCTTGTTTGCAACCTACAGGTAAGTGTGTTGGAGCTGGGTTGGAACTAAACTGTGCAGGGCTTCGGCCCTCCAGGAATTGAGTTTGACACCCCTGCCTTAGGGTAACCCACTGATACAGGAACACTGGAGCATTTAATAACACGTCGATCAGCTGGTTTGTCTTTAAGCCGACATAAGAGTAATCCACTGACGAATCGCACCTCTAAAACTCTAATGTCCCTGTATCTGTGATGACACTCAGTAAACAGCGATGAGTTCAGTGATGATCTTCACGGCCAATCACAGTCATTTCTGTTGAGCACATGAACACAATGGCAAATCAGCGCTGTTTAAGAACATGCTCAATAGTGCTCAAATGTTAGTGGAAAATGGATGTTTTTAAAATTCCAGTACTGATTGGGACCAAAATCCAATATCATGACAACACTAATGTGCACACTAAGGTAGCTTTTTTAAGAATTGGTCACTAAATTCTTTGTGTATCCCAAAATGGTTCTTCAATAGCATTGATGTGGAAACTCTTTTGAGGAATGTAGACTTTAAAGCATGCACTGTAGGTTAAATATCCACCATTAAATGAGAACTGCTGAAATTAAACACAATATTCAGTAACACATTTATTTGTCTGAGGTTATCCGTGAATATGCTACATAATTACTCGCTCTGATCCACGTTTTTGGTAATTGCCAACAGAAAGCATTTGAAAACACTCCCAGATGTCCACAGATGGAGCGAATGCGCTCCGTTCCACAGTCAATCCGCTTGCTCTCTTTTGCATCCACAGCTGCTGATATCATCAAGAGGAAGCTCCGTCCTCGTCTTCCTGTAAGGTGTGATGGCCAGTTAAAGCAGTCTCTATCTCTCGGCCTCCATCATAATACTGATGTGCTCAGCGGAGGCTTGCTGACTCACGGCTGAAGGCCAGGCTGGAGAGGGCGGCTGGGGCATGAACTGAGCTGGAGTCCATCGCCCCTGCAGGCCCGGGGTTGGCGGAGGACTCATGGCCCAGTTGGGGTGAGGAGCTGGCGATGCGGCCATTGAAGTAATGGGGCTACTGCTACCGAAGCTTTCGGAGGCTTTTAGGCGAGAGAACATGGCCAGGGCATCGGGAAAGTTTGGAGGTGTTGCTGGCGTGTTGGCTGGAGTGCACATCTGGAAACAAAGAGAGAGCTTGTTTAGATCCAGTACAGTTAACAGGATAGGGTGAAGTCAGCTAAAGTAGGCCACGTTTTGGTAACAATTTCATTTCATTTCAGGCTTTAACACTTTGCACTGCCTGCTTTTAAAAAAACCTTTAAATTGTTGCTAACAAGTGCCAAAGCAACAATGCGAGGTTACTTATTGTGATTGAATAGAGAAATTTTAAAAGATAAAGAGTTACAATCTACTTCGCCATTTTTTCCTAATAGGGCCTGAACATGCAGACTTTGGTTTTTCTGTGCAAAGAGTAAAATATCTGCAGGTTTTTGCAAATGGTTTTGAGAGTATAGTAGCTAAAAACTCATTTTATTCATTTAAACACTTTTATTTAAGGTTTACAATGCAAATCCTATTAGTCTCTCATATATCTACTAAAGCAGTGTTTCTCAACCAGGTTTCTGGAGGACCACCAGCACTGATGTCTCTTTTGTCAGTCACACTCATTACAGGTCATTCAGTCTCTGCTAATGATCTGAATCAGGTGTATTTGGTTAAGGAGACATGGAAAATGTGCAGAGCTTGTGGTCTTTCAGGAACGTGGTTGAGAAACACTACTAAAAAGACAGATGATATCACTTTACAAACTGTATTGGAAATAAATCATTTCAACATTTGCATATTACTCAATAATGTTACTCAGATTAAAATAAACACTGATTTATAGATGTAAATAAACAGACTCGATGGACTAAAAAAACAAACAAACAAACAAAAAAAAGTGGAATTTTGCAGATTTCGCTGTGGGCCTACTGATAACCTATTTAAACTGACTTCACCCTTGTTCAACCCCAGAATTCAGATCCTTTTTTTTCATTGCCATTTTTTTTTACGGTCCCAGAGTACACAAGCAATATTTTTTTTTTAACACAGTGCCAAGTAAAAAAAAAATAGACATTAAAAGTTAACTTTTAACTGCTCTTATCAGTGAGTACGTTTACATAAACATCCAATAATCAGATTTTTATACAATTAAGACAATACCCTGGTTAAGGGTCTACCACGTAAACAGCGATTTTTAATTTATTTAATCCGATTAAGGTCATAATGGAGCATGCATGAAATGTTCCTAAATGAAAGTGAATGTGCTGAACTGCAGTTAAACTGGACTAATTAAAAATGAAACACCCAAAATTACATAAAACTCCAGAGGAAGTGGATGGCTTGGTGATGCACTAACTATAATCGAATCATGTGCTATAACATGTAAAACGGGATCATGAAAGGAACATGCAAAACTCATGTAAACATCTTAAATATATTATTGTCTTATTCTGATTAAGCTAAATAATTTGATTACTGATGTCTATTTAAACGTATAGTCATTGCCAGTTTTAAGGGACGTCATTAAAAATAGAACTACTTATGAGCAAGTGAACACAATGGTGTTTAAGAGAGCAAGTACCCTCAGGTACCGTTTACACATTTCATTTATTTTTTATAATAGATACGTTTTATTACAGTTATGCTTGGCATCCACACTAATCAGGCATCTTCGACCTATGGAAATGGAGCATTTTGAAAACACTAAAGAACCAATTTGTTGGTAAATACTGGTGATCTGAAATTAAATCCAATTTATTTATTTATTTTTTTAAATGGATGCAAATATATTTACAATTAGTCTCTGATTGGTCTTTTGAACTATTGTGTATCATTGTCTGATTCACCAAGCCCCTCCCATATGATCATAACACAACATGTAAATAGCAAGTACAGATGCCTGCAAAAATGTGCATGCCCAGTAAGCATGAATGGTGATGTATTATGTGTTTAGACTGTATAGTATGGAAGGAGATTGCTTTTCTAAAACGCTGCCCATTTGTGTTGGCGTTTTTGTTGCGTTTTCATTCTTAAATATTTTAAAACTAAAACATACAAGTTTTAAAACTAAAACATTTTAAAATATGTTTTAACTAGTTTTATCTCCATTACAAAATGTCAGTGTTTAAGTTTAATTGGTAAATATTCTTTTTTTATTAACATCTACATAACCATGGTAATTTTAGTACTTTTTACCTATGTTTGATTGATTGTATAATTCTTGTGTTGGTTTTTTTAGGTTGTTTTACATTGATTGTTTTACACTGATTGTATAATATAGTTAATATAGTAATACATTATAATATAATATAATATAATATAATATAATATAATATAATATAATATAATATAATATAATATAATATAATATAGTTTTACATTGATTGTATAATTCTTGTATTTTTTTAGGTTGTTTTACATTGATTGTTTTACATTGATTGTATAATATAGTTAATATAGTAATACATTATAATATAATATAATATAATATAATATAGTTTTACATTGATTGTATAATTCTTGTATTTTTTAGGTTGTTTTACATTGATTGTTTTACATTGATTGTATAATATAGTTAATATAGTAATACATTATAATATAATATAATATAATATAGTTTTACATTGATTGTATAATTCTTGTATTTTTTAGGTTGTTTTACATTGATTGTTTTACATTGATTGTATAATACAGTTAATATAGTTATACATTATAATATAATATAATATAATATAGTTTTACATTGATTGTATAATTCTTGTATTTTTTAGGTTGTTTTACATTGATTGTTTTACATTGATTGTATAATACAGTTAATATAGTTATACATTATAATATAATATAATATAATATAATATAATAGTATAGTATAATATAGTTTTACATTGATTGTATAATTCTTGTATTATTTTTTTAAGGTTGTTCAGGGACAACAGATGAAAAATAGCCTTTTAGCTAATTCTGGTGCATTTGCAGAAATGCTAATTAATGTCCCTGCCAAATAAACAAATAAATAAATAAAATAAAACATACTCTTATCCTGAGGTAGTGTAAAACAATACACCAGGATAAGAAATTCACTGTGGCCGCACTGCACTGGACTTGCCAGAGAAGTCTCCAAAGAAATGTGTTTGCGTTTGTAAAGAGAAATTTACCTCAGTCAGTCATAGTTATAATTCAACCCTTTCTCATATACGTTTTAAATTCTTCAGCTGACTCCCCACAAAGTGCGCTTCTGAAGAAATGATAAGTACATTTTTTGTGGATGAACTAATCCTTTAATGAATCCAGACCTGTTTGATTTTCACAGCTATTTCAACAGAAGGGGAAACTGATGGAATTCCTGAAAGTGAGTCATTTTCAGAAAGAAAGGATTGAGGAAACGTTGTGGTGGCTGAAGGCTCTGGACCTTTGGACACACAGAAGTTTGATTGTCCACCTCTCCTGAATAAAGAGCAGGCCTGATGCCCTGACACAAACGCTACTATAACAACGTTTAGTCTTTCAGAGGCCAGCTTTAAGAAGATAATAATCAGAGGAAAACAACAACCGATGACGTCTTTTGTGAAGTCGTTCAAAACAAACTGCAATTAAAAGAATCTTCTCTTTTGTCCTTTGACACAAGACTTTGCCTTTTCAGTGAATGTAACAACTGTTTTATAACAAGAAAATGAATCCTTGCTGAATAAATAGTTTTTAATTAATCAAATTTAATAAAATATTGTACAATTAGTTGATCATTATTGCTAAAAAGCACATGTTGACTGAGCAGAGGGGTTTTATATAGAAATATTAACAAGTATACTCTAAAAACGGATATAAATATAAAAACTTATTAAATTAAGTTTGATTTGTTTGCTTTTTGCATTTAGAGATTGTGTGTAGATGATGGGTAAAGTCTGTGTATACTTATAGAAGTAATTCAAAAAAAGCTAAGTCTAACAAAAACAATTTTGTAAACAACATTTAAATTACCAAAGCATTTCATTCACTCACTCGATCAACAAAGCTGGTGGATATCACTGGTCAAGTAAAACACACAAACAGGTCAAAAACAAAAAAGGGACATCTTTACTGTTGATATCCGACCATCAGTAGGACGTTGAAGCTGTAACCTGCATACGAAACGTAAAAAGCGAATCCCAAGTAGAGCTTACACAATACACACACACTAGTGTTGAGTGACATGCATATCATTCATAATTCAGCTGTCTCCTTGTGCTGGCAGGCGTCCAAATATTGTAGGCAAACACGAACTAGCATTGCACAACATTACCTTTCACCTTCATTTTACAACAATCCTAATCTGGTTTGAATGTTGTTCATTTTCTGTTTGGTCATATCCTTTGCTTAAGATCAGTGCTGTGTAAACTTGGTACTGGAGGGCCGGTGTCCTGCAGATTTTAGCTCTAGAAATATCCTTAGAAAGTATGTTTCTAGAAAGCCTAAAGCTGCGATCACACTGCACTTTTCTCCCCATAGACTTCCATTCATATGCACGCGAATTCGTCATACCGCAAACGCAAGCTCGTGCGCCAAGTTTTGCAGGTCGCTGCATTGCAAAGCTCAAGTTTGGTGAACTCTGACGCATGATCACATGATTGCGTGAGACTAATCGATGATCAAAACATGACCCCTCTGGACAGAAATATAAAACATGGACCGATCGCTCACTTTTTTAAATGTCTAATCGTCTTGTTTAACCACGCTCCTTTTTGCAGTGCTGTACGACAGAATTCTGCAAGCTCAAACTCTAGTGTGACTGCGGCATAAGAGCTTGATTAGCTAGCCCAGGTGTGCCTCATTGGGGTTGGAACCATATATATATATACACTCGATGTCGCCTGGCCTATTGTTGTCTATTGGACGGTATGCGTCAATAGCGCCGCCATCTTGCTACAGCGCTACTTTGAAATGAATGCGAGACCAATGTACAGTGGAGGACTGTGGCCATCCAAAGCCAGAGATATACACATATATCTATGATCAGGAGTTTTCCTGGATGTTAGTATGTAATTTTTTTTTCTAATTACGAAAATTATAATTTTACATCACTTTTCTTTATTAATGGGTCAGTGGACGCACAGGCATTCCTGACAAAAAGCTTGTGTTTGTGTGTACAGAAATGTACTATTCACCCTCCTGTTAAATTTGATCTAATCATGTCCTGAAACACAGCTCCTCTCCTGCTTTCACTTCTCAAACTGACGGAGAGAGCGATTCGTTTGTGAATGAAAGTTCAAAACATACAAAAACAGAAAAAAACTTAATCTTACCTATGAAATGTTCTGCTTCTGTGCTTTGATTTCTTTGTTTGCTCGTTTCTACACCTGTAGACAGCGCTAAAGTCCCGCATCTTCACGTAATAACATTGTCTTGACTAGTGCGGTTGAATGACATTTGTCCTGGGAGCACTGTAGCAAAGTGGCGGCGCTTGACGCATGCTCAGGGTCCCTATGCGATATCTAGTGTATATATCTATGGGTTGGAACTAGACTTTCCAGGACACCGGCCCTCCAGGACCGAGTTTGGGCACTCTAGGCTTAGATGTACTTAAATATTTAGGCAATGTACATTGAACATCAGCTAACAGATGCATATAAACCGTATATAAACCATATTATTGCTGTAATCGTAATTAAATGGGTTATGCACAGAGACTTTTAATTTTCAGTCTTTCCATTACAAAATTGCCACATTTAAGTAATGTACTGTATTTTTTTTATTTAATGCCATGTCAGCAACCAAGGCTATTTTCATGGCAGGAACTTTTCAACAATAAATATACAATTTAATAAAATCAACAAATAAAAGAATAAATCAATTAAATAAGATTTTTAGTGTTGATGCATGATAAAAATTCTAAAATCTTTTCTGGTTTTACTTTGTTAAAAATGTCCTTAAAAAGAGTTCATTTCATGAAAAGTCTTCTGGAATATTAAAAGCAGGACCGTCCAGTAAAATGTGTTTTATAGTAAGGGGAATTTTGCAGCACAAACACTGAGTAGGGTTTTTGCCACGTTTAAGATCTGTTTTCTTTAAAGATAAGCATTTTTCACTGCCTAATAGATCATTGACATGAAATGGGTCTCAGACCGGACAAGAAGCACTGCATTAAATTCCATTTTCCCCAGCCATGTCTTTAAAATATGAACATTTATTTTACCTCAGTATTTTGAATAGAGTTTCTGGTCTAGCCTGCAGGTACTGACAGTGCTAGCGGTTACACGGTCAGTCATCTCGATTTATGCTTGAAAAACTAAATTAACTGATTGTATTTTAATTACATTATGATGTCATTCATTCATTTTCTTGTTAGCTTAGTCTCTTTATTAATCCGGGGTCGCCACAGCGGAATGAACCGCCAACTTATCCAGCATGTTTTTACAGCCGCAACCTTCCCTTCCAGCCGCAAGCCATCTCTGGGAAACATTCACACACACTTATACACTACGGACAATTTAGCCTACCCAATTCACCTGTACCACATGTCTTTGGACTGTGGGGGAAACCGGAGCACCCGAAGGAAACCAGAGTAAACGCAGGGAGAACATGCAAACTCCACACAGAAACGCCAACTGAGCCGAGGATCAAACCAGCGACCCAACGACCTTCTTGCTGTGAGGCGACAGCACTACCTACTGCGCCACTGCATCGCCTACATTGTGATGTCAATAAGGTAAAGAAACAACAACAACAAAAAAAACTTTAAAAAAATTTAAATAGTCACAAAAACTTTTCACCGGAAGTTTAGCGTTGGCTGAAGAACTCTAGCTGTGTTGTTGTTGCTGTTTTTTTTTATTTTTATAACACAGATGTGAAGAACAACTGTGATGAGCCAAGAGCTGGCAATAATGCCAAACAACATATCAATAATGAGTACAACCGAAAGAGAGAATAAATAAATGAACGAATAAATTAATTATTTAAATAATACATAAATTGCTAAGTATTCCAAACCAAATATAGGAAATCACATTCACATTATAAATACTATCAATGCAAATTACAGAAAAAAACTCAAAAAAAGAACATGCGTTCAATGTTTTAGTTGCCTTTTTGTTAGAAGAGGTAGAGAGAGGCTTGATTTAATTCTTGATGTCCATTTGAAAATGAGAAAGGTGAGGGGTGATGTTCATAACCTTGAATTTGTGAATAAAATCCTTTGCTAGCAAAATTATTAAGTTGGAAAGAAAATAAATGTTTTCACATTGCTTCTCAAGGGTAATAAGTACAAATAAAACATATTTAAAGCAAAGCTCAAAACTATCATTTATGATATGTACAATAAACTGGCAGATATCTTGCCAAAATCTCCTTGTTTCGACTGTTGACATCACCACGACAGGGCTTATAGGGGTGCGACCAGGTCCCAGCAGAATAAAACAGCCCTTTCTGGAATATCCACACGAATATTAGTCTCCATGTGGGTGTACATTGTTGTATTATCAATATTATCGTTCACATGGTAAAACCTGTAAGCAGTTTGTGAGTGTAACTGTACATGAGGTGCTTGCTAAGGGTTAACTGAATTTCATTCGCTTTGCATGTGACCGGTAGTACTACTATTTCTGAGTAATCGAGACAAATTCCTTTAAGTTTAGATATCCAAATTTAAAAACCCCGACACTAATAAAAAAATACCCGAAGTTTAAACTAGCAAGGCTTTGAACAGACAACAATGCGTCCTTAGTGAAGGCGATCTTGTTGTTATTACAGTAGTGTAAACAGCGCGGTGTCAAGCGCGTGTTCTCTCGGTTTCCTGGAATCGCCCTCCTCCCCCACAACTTTGGACACGTTTGCAAAAACCCGACTCCCATGAGTCCAGATTAATTTAACATCTTAAAACAATAACATATCTAATTAACCAACAAAGGGCGACATGGTGAGCTAAACAACCAAAGTCGCAATTTTTCAAACGAAATAAATAAGCTCTGGCTAGAAACACGCCAGCCTGTGTTTATTTATGTCTGACTCGTGGTTTCAACATGGCGGAAGTCATCATAACAAATATAAAAAAGGGCCAAAACACAATGACTAAAATAACAAGAGTATACTCACCATTTGATGGCTGTAAGGAATATTAGCCTCTTGGAAAAATGTACTGAGGGCAGCCTGTAAGACAATACAATATGGATTATTTGTAATTCAACAAATACTCATTTGGAAGTACGCGAATTTAATGAATTTAACATAATATTATTTAATTCGCCTTATCATAATACTTTCTACCTCATAAATGAATTATTTCAATGTCATATTTGTTTAGATTGTCTGTTGCAGTGTTTGTTTTGCGTGATTATAAAATATAACACGCTTCAAATAAACAAAGAGTTAATTGATTTGTGTAAATTTATATTAACGTTATATTAAATGAGATTCTTCTTCATGTTAAGAGTCCTACCAAACAAACATAAGTTACCTCAAACTGCCAGTGTGAAGCTTGTAAAAACTGCTTTGCTTGATCCGCCGCGCATCCTGCTGTAAGAACAAACTGATTTATCATAACTTGATGTCTTAGTTCGTCCATATTTACTCAAGAAACCGATACAAAGTCGTCAGGTTAAGGTTTTAATCTGCAGTCTTTTAAAAACGCCGCACTAACACATCAACTTGTCGATTGGAAACAAAAATTGTTGTGAGTTGGAGGGTCCTGCTGAGCGCCCCTGCTGGACAAACGTAGTAAACACCAGCAGGGAATTCTGGGATTTGTAGTCAACTATGCAAAAATATGAGCCTAGATCAGTGGTTCCCAAAGTGGGGACAATGAAGGGGGGTCGCTTGGTGATTTCCAAAAATCTAATGAATTTTGTTGAACCACTGGAATTACCATATTTTATCCATTACCCTTTTGAAAATAAAAAATAGTTACAGCCTTTTGATTTTTATTTAATTTTTTCGATTAGATTGCAACTCTTGAGGTGATAACATTATATTAAAGACGCAGCAATAGCATTAGATGGAGCAGATTTATTTTATGGCACCGGGTTAAAATTTCTGGCACATTATACAGCACTCACATACATTTAAAAAAAGAAGAATAGACTTGGACCTATTGGTGTGGGTGTGTATTGAAGTAGGTGTGGTGTACATGCAAGGTTTCTATATTTATAACCTCCCTTGAGGATATTGGAGGTCGCGAGTCACTGGCATTGTTATTTTAGGGTCGCAGTCTGAAAAGTTTGGGAACCCCTGGCCTAGATGGTGTATGTCAAACTCAGTTTCTCAAGTGCCGCAGCTCTGCACAGTTTAGTTGCAACCCTTTGTTACCTGTGTGTTGAAGCAGGGCTTAAATTTCCTCCAGGAATTGAGTTTGACACCCCTGGTGTAAAGACATGGTGGTTTTGCATGAATATAAAAATGTTAAATTCCCACAAACACGCCGTGCATCAAGCTCACGTCACTGTATCTAGTTAATATAGAGTCATCATCATTTGTCATCTTCTATTTAATTTTTGTTATTGACTATTTTGTTATTTAAGGTAATTTATTTTATTTTAATTATTTATTTTTTCACAACAGGAAATCAGAAACATTTGATGACACATCATATGATAATGCATTCTAAAAATACTAATTCATTGTCATTAGGATTTTTTTTTTATTTTACACTATCAGTAAATACACTTTTTCCCCACAAAATAACAGGTTTAATCTATTTGTCAGAAGGACATTTAGACATTAAAATATTTATTCAAAATGCAATAACATTTAGTTGATCAATTATTGTTGTTGTGTGTTGTTATAGTCTCAGTGACGATGGAACAATTCACTCACGCTTTTGATCTTTTAAAGTTATTTTAAATATTTTAGTAAACACTTTACTTGCAGTTAATATATTTTCTATGTAAAAAAACATCTTTGTACATAAACCAGGATTAATTTGCCTCATATTCAAAACAGCACTAGTACACTAAAACATGGCAACAAACATCAAACATACAGACAATTACATTTGTTGAGAAAAGGCCTAAAATGTGCTGAAAATAAGTGAAAAATAATAAACCTAAGATCCACTCTCACGCATAAAACAACTATTAAAGTATTAGTCATTGTAGCAAAAGTAAAATAAGCACTTTATTTCTGAAAATTTAAATACTAAATACAACTCAATCTCATTTATATTTGTTTTAATTTTGTCACGAGTGTTTGTCATCATTATAAATATAATAAATATATTTGTGTAATCTCTGTTGACAGGCTGATTGGTGCAGTGGCAGCAGTAATGCGGTCGATGTACCGGTCCGTTGTGGTAAAGAAGGAGCAGAGCGAAAAGCAATGCTCTCCACCTGTCAATCTACGTTCCTACTCTCACCTGTGGTCATGAGCTTTGGGTCATGACCGAAAGGACAAGATCTCGAATACAAGCGCTAAAAATGAATTTCCTTCGAAGGGTGGCAGGGCCACTCGTATAGGGTGAAAAGCTCTGACACCCAGGAGGAGCTCTGAGTAGAGCCTCTGCTCCTCCACATCGAGAGAAGTCAGCTGAGGTGGCTCGGGCATCTGTTTTGGATGCCTCCTGGATGCTTAGGAAGGTGTTCCAGGTATGTCCCACCTCGGGGAAGACTCAGGACACGCTGGATTGACTGCTGCCCCCGTGACCCGGCCCTGGAGAAGCAGCAGAAAATGAATGAATATTTGTGTGATTTCTATTTAATGTTAATATTAATTGTGCTTTTTAGATAATTGTTTTACCAGTCAAACATAATAATGCACATATTTCATTTTAGTAGCCTACAAGAAACCCTCCGTTTCAGAATATGGGCATCGTATGCAATAGGCTAACTGTAATTATTACTCATTATGGTCACCATTTTGGATTTAATAGATATATATTTTTTAATGTCTCAAATCTTTTGTATTACTATAATATATATTTTTATTGATTTTCATAAAGAATACACATAAAACAAAATGAAAAAGTGTGTACAACTGATAAACAATTTCAGGGGCAAAAACAATTAAGTATAAAGGTATAAGTTATATAGTTAGGAAAATATTATGAGAATGACATAACAAGACAGTTTTGAGGGCTTTGAAATTGTAGGATGTAAGAAGAGTATTGAGGTAGAAAAATACACAAACAACAGAAAACTAAAGAGGAAATAGGGTTTAGCATCTTGAAAGTTACATTTCTGCAAAAATAATTTTTCAGGAAAAATAAATAAATGTATTAGATAATATTTGTCCTTGCCTTGTTTCTTAAAAGTTATGGCAGCCAAAGAATTAATTATTTTTTTAAATATAAAATATACCATCTTCTTGACCACAATGAAAGGATTCTCGCGGTCGCAGTGACAAAAGCTCAGGCTCTTCTGATTGGTCGAGCTCATAGGTCTCATGACGAGCTCAGCCAATCACGAGGCGATATGCTACAACTTTCGCAGGGAAGCATCGCAACAACGATTTCCTTGTGTTGTGTTTTCACGAAGGAGCTGCTGCTTTTAAATCGAAAACAAACCAGACGACAAAATCCTTCCCTCGCCTCATTTACCTTGCTTTTTAGAGTTTACTGTTATTTCTGGTGTGCTTCTTTGCATCTTGTTTTATTGAGTCTCTGCTCGTGACAGATGAACTAACTGGCTAGATGCTGACTTGCTAGTCAGTTAGCCAGTGTCAAGACTGATCCAGCTGACTGAACTGAACATCATATAAACACGACTGTACCAGATTCGACTCCGAAGAGAAGAAATGTCAATTAACTACATGCCATGTTAAATTGAACAAGCAGTCGGTTCGGAAGCGTTGCTGACATTACGCAGCTACGATTAGCTGGCTAGCTGTTGTTGTACACCATTAATAACCGCTGTCGTTAGTGCTGATCGGATTGAGTTGGAGAAATGGGTTCAATTCTCAGTCGAAGAATCGCTGGTGTTGAAGACATCGACATCCAGGCCAATTCTGCATACAGATATCCTCCAAAATCAGGTAACGTTAAGGCTGATAAAAGCTGCTGTTGGTCTTCTCTTGCATTGTGAGTTAAACACTCATCATCTCAGATAAGTTGGATTAATATCCATAATAATAAATTAGTCAATCAATTGCTGTCAATTGATTCACCAGATGTGATTCTAAAAGTTAAGTCAATTATAGTATGATTAGTAGAGTATAATTCATACAGTGGCTATTAGAGTACATTTGACTAGTATCCAGTAGCAGATGTTGGATTTTAAAATAGACACCTTTAACTACATTAAAATGGCTTATTTGAAGTGAAAATATAAATTAATTACAAATATAAGAATAATTGCACTTACAACCAAGAATATTAGTTTAAGTTGAGCTTTGTTGTTCCGCTGCATGTGTTGACATAAAGTGAAATGACAAGTCGTGTCTCACAGAACCATGGTCCTACATAAATAAAGTACATAAATAATAATGATTTACTTATTAAACAATTATCAATGCATCAATATTACCTCCAGTTATTTTATTAATAATACAGTTAGCGTCAGAATATAAATCTATGTTTTATCATTTTATTTATTCATGTCCCAAACTTAATTTCTAATAATGTTCTTCTCTTAAAAACTAAAACTGAAACGTCAGAGGCTTTTATTGTTATACAAATAGAGGCTTTTATTGTTATACAACTCTTTTATTCACATAATACGAATAACAGTAGTACTTTATATTTATATGTAACATTATGGAATGCTACATAAATTTATGTAAACCCTACTGTCTAATCTGAATGTCAGCTATGATTATTTTATTGTACACAAGGCCAGACAGATTATGCAGTATTTATAGTGTTTTTCTGTTCAAACATTAGGTTAGATGTGTCATATATTGGTTAATTATTGTTTTCTTTTCCCAAGGAAACTATTTTGCCAGCCACTTTTTCATGGGTGGAGAAAAATTTGACACTCCTCATCCCGAGGGTTACCTTTTTGGGGAAAATATGGATCTCAACTTTCTCGGCAACCGTCCAGTGCAGGTACAGTAAAATCAGTGATTCTGACTTTCTGCTTGTAAATATATGAGGACTGCACACAGTCATTCATTCATTCATTTATTTTCAGCTTAGTCCCTTTATTAATGTTGGGTCGCCACAGCGGAATGAACCACCAACTTATCCAGCATATGTTTTACACAGCTGCAACCCTTCACTAGGAAACATCTATACAAACTCATTCACACACACACTACGGATAATATAGCTTATACTACACTTATACTACATGTTTTTGACCTGTGGGGGAAACCGGAGCACCCTGAGGAAACCCACGCGAACACGGGGAGAACCTGCAAACTCCACACAGAAATGCCAACTGACCCAGTTAAGGCTCGAACCAGCAACCTTCTTGCTGTGAGGCGATTGTGTTACCCACTGTGCCAGTGGCGCTGCACACAGTATATTACAAAAAAAAAAAAATCATTAATGTGATATTAGTATATGTGGTGTCTGTTTTAAAGAGAGATGAGATGAAAATGGATTTATTAAAACTAATTTTATTTGCCAATATTTTCTGTGTGACATTCATAGGATGTTTATCCAAATTTGACCAATTTGACTGGGGTCTTGCTACCTTTATACCCACTTCCCTAGTAGGTGCTGTCATGCTGTCATGCTAGACCAGCTCCAAACAACCTAGTTTCTCCGACCAGAGAGTTGAAAATGACAACAACAATCAGAACGTCTGATTTTAATTTCTTCAAGTGTTTTAAAGTCTAAGGGCGCTTTCACACCTACACTTTTTATTCGGAACGTGTCTCGTTTGCCCTGTTAGCGCAGTTCGTTTGGCATATGTGAACAGGGCAATCGCACTCTGTTCCGCGCCAAAGTAATCGCTCCGAGATTGTTTGATTGAGGTGGTCTCGGCTCGATTGAAACGAACCCTGGAGCTGTTCGATTACAGTGAGAAAGCGATCCGATCCGTGCGCGGTTATATCACAGTGTTTTATGGATATGTAATAGGCTTACGGCTATATGAAGAGAGAATTATGAGTATGGCGGGAAGTTTCGCGAGTCTCCGGATGCCCGCAAACGAGTGATGATCTCCCGGTAATCTCGCCTCTCCCTTCCCATCCTCAAATAGGCATCGTCGCGCACCCTTCTCACCCCTCCCCACCGCATCTCTCCTCAGACACATCGCGTGCGCACCCTGTCAATCACCACCAAACCACCACCTCTCCTGACAGCTTAACGGGATGCTGCATAATAAACCCTGACACTCTGACCAATGTAAGGAGAGTTTGCTCGCATGTGACTTGTTTTAGCTCTTTTGGTCTGATTAGAAACTTGCAGTGTGAAAGCGAACTGCTCCAAGATCAAAGAGCAACAATGTAACAATTGTAATCTCTGTTTCGGAACAACTGAATCGATTCATAGGTGTGAAAGCACCCTAAATGTTTGCACCTTGATACCTTGTTTATTTTTTAGCCTGAATTTAATTTGATTAGAAAACTATTTCCTGTTTATTTTAGTATAATCATTAAATAAATTAATGATAATGAATGAAATGGTGAATAAAAGTGTCATTTATTTAGCGGGGAATGTTAAATTGCACTAGATATCAAGATTGCTCTCATTATAATCTTATATATTCTCATTATAACAGAGCCCTTTGTAATATCTTATTATAAATGTTTTATATATTATGAATGAGACTTTTGATACATTTGTTTTGTTGTAAATGGTTTTAGTAAACGCATACTGATATATTAAAATGTGAGTAATATATATTTTTTTATTTCTGGCAGTTTCCCTATGTTACTCCAGCTCCGCATGAACCAGTCAAGACATTGAGAAGTCTTGTCAACATTAGAAAGGACTCATTACGATTGGTCAGGTACTGTATGAACATCATATCGCTGGTAGTCTGAGTGAAAATAATCTCAGTGCTGAGTATAGTTGCATTTCTCTTGATCATTTGTGTATTTGTTTTAAATTTGTGTGATTGTAGGTATAAAGATGATGCTGATACTCCTACTGATGAAGGAGTAAAGCCAAGGGCCATGTATGGAGTGGAGTTCACCTTTGACTCTGATGCACGGGTGGCCATCACTCTCTACTGTCAGGCCTTTGAGGAGTTCTCCAATGGGATGGCGATGTAAGATCTTTAGTTGTAGTTGCAAATTTTTAAAGCTACAATGAAGCAGATATGGTGATTTATATTTTTCCTTTTTGCATTTTGACATGCATTTCAGTTTGTAAACTGTTAATGACAAAATAATGTAATGCAAGGTCTTAGTTTTGTTAGAATATTAATTCATTTATTTATTTTTTTTGTTATCACTTCCATATATTTATAAATAAATAAATAACCATAGTAAAAATAAATAGAACCAACTGAAATGAACCAAGTGAAAAAGGAATAAGCCGAAACCTTGATTGTTATGCCTACCCTACGACTTTAAACTACATTTGATGAAATAGAATAAACAAAATTAGATTAGTCATATCCCAAAATGTTTAAACATAATTCCAAAAGTACATGTAAAAAATACACATTCCAATAATTACTACAGTATTCTGATCAGTTTGACTCTAATTCTTAACGTTCATAGTTTTTATATAGTGTCATATAATGATCACCTCATTTATACTTTTTTGATTCATAAAGAAAATGACAAAATCTATAATCCTTATCACATTACTCTATATGTTTATCTATTAGACAGAATATTAAACACATTATTTTTACATTAATTATCGCCCTTTTTTTAAATGCATAAATTCAAATGACATTTTATGGACCTTCCTTTATTTTGAGTAGCCATTGAATGCTATTGGGAAAATAACTTATTTAAAATTTTGTACAATTTCCGAGCTGTACATGATTCAACTAAATCTACAAATTTTAAAGAATGCAAATTTATTAATTTTGTTGTTGGTTCATAATAATTAGTAAAACAATACTCATTGCTCTTTTTTTTGTTTTTAGATAGATAGATAGATAGATAGATAGATAGATAGATAGATAGTTTTCTTTTGTTTAATGTTATCATTATTAGCAGTATTATTTATTATATCCATATTTATATTTGTTTTATTAAAAACAAGCCTAGATTTGCCCACCTGTCAGGTTTTAGACCATATGGGGCACAGCATGTGTATTTGAATATAACTCAGTTTTTTGAACACACTTTGTTATTATTGTTCATTTATTCGTTTGCTGGAAATTAGAACTGAATTTAGAAATAGTTTTGAAAGAAAAATCTTTGCGCTTAACAAACAAAATTAATTGTATATAGGCTAATTACGGTGGCCGGGAAGTGCGAAACAACATTACAAGGTGTGAAACACTTTTACAAAGCTCGAGACAAATTTACATTTTGAAAAACATTTTTACTTATTAGACACAATTACATAGGAAAAACAATTTCACAAAGGACGAAACAAATTTACATTTTAGAAAACAGATTAACAAGACGCAAAACACTTTTACAAATCCCGAAACAAATTTACAATTACAGATTCCCTACGGAAAGGGAATGTACCACACCCCAGAAGTGACGGTTTTTACTTGATTAATGTGTGGTTTCTAACATAATTTATAATCAATAATAATGCCTAAATGGACATTAAAAATGTATTGATTTTGAATTAAATGTTTGGATATTGATGTTTCCCTGAATAGCAATATAATATATAACATTTATGTACTAACAGTATATTTTCCTTCTAAAGATACAGCCCAAAAAGCCCTGCGCTGGTCTCTGAAACTGTATATTACAAAAGAGGGGTTAGCCAGCAGTTTACCCTGCCATCCTTCAAGATTGATTTCTCTGAATGGAAGGAAGAAGATGTAAGTATCTTCAGTCTGTTTTATTACAGTCACTAGCCTCTGATGCGCAATTTCATTTTGTTTTTTTAAGAAATTGATTGGACCTCTTTGCAATACAATAACGAACATATCAATGTTGCGTGACTTATGTACTTATTATTCTTTTCTTTTTGTTGAAGCTCAACTTTGATTTGGACCGAGGTGTTTTTCCCATGGTGATTCAGGCTGTGGTTGATGAAGGAGACGGTATGTCGTCATGACTTAATTATAGAGGCACAATGTTTTGTTTTATATTTTGCAGAGGCACAAAAATTACAGGGTTTAATTGCCACTTTGTCAGATGAGAACAACACATCAGTCCAACTTGACACTGCACACTGATCATATTTGTGGTTATTTGTGCAAAAAAAGACACAAGAAAGAGATTTATAGACTTGGTGTTGCCCAAATAATCCAAGAAAAGAAACAGCAGTGTTTGCTTACGGCTGTCATTTCTTGTATTTATTTTTGTTTCAGATTGTTTTGGACATGCTCATGTACTGCTTGCAGCATTTGAAAGAGTGAGTTTTATATTATTTCGTGCATTTGATTTCTAAATCTTTGCTGTTCTTTTTTTTTGTGAATTTCTGATGATAATTTTGTTTAATACAGCATGTCGATGGCAGTTTCTCAGTGAAACCTTTGAAGCAGAAACAAATAGTGAGTCTGTTTTTATTTTAAATGAAGTATAAAATAGAGCAATAGATGTTTTCATAATGGCCATTTTTTTTTGTTTTTTTGCTACAGGTGGATCGTGTTAGTTATTTGTTACAGGAGATTTATGGAATTGAGAACAAAAATAATCAGGAAACAAAGGTGAAAAGAGGATTGTTGTTCATTTTCATTATGTTATTCATCAATTAGCCAATGGTTTGGTATAATTCAGATTTTTAATGTTTAGAAATGTTGGATTTTTTTGATTTTTAAAAAGAAAGTAAATATTGAGGGTGACGTAGTGGCGCAGTAGGTAGTGCTGTCGCCTCACAGCAAGAAGGTCGCTGGGTCGCTGTTTCGAACCTCGGCTCAGATTCTGTGTGGAGTTTGCATGTCCTCCCTTCGTTTGCGTGGGTTTCCTCCAGGTGCTCTGGTTTCCCCCACAGTCTAAAGACATGCGGTACAGGTGAATTGGGTAGGCTAAATTGTCCATGGTGTGTGTGTGTGGATGTTTCCCATTGATGGGTTGCGGCTGGAAGGGTATCCGCTGCGTAAAAACCTGCTGGATAAGTTGGCGGTTCATTCCGCTGTGGCGACCCCAGATTAATAAAGGGACTAAGCTGACAAGAAAATGAATGAATGAATGAATGAATAAAGTAAATATTGCTTATTTTTGTTTCAAACCTATTTTATATGCAATTTATTTCTGCTATTTTCCATTTTCACAGTGTCACATCCTTTAGGGGTCATTCTCAGATTCTGATTTTTATGTTATAAATATTAGGTGTTGTTGGCTAAATATTTTATGTGTGCAAAGTGACATACGCTGCTAAAATGTTTTGATAAAAAGGTTAAAATACTTTTATTCATGGATGTATTCAAATCATGAAAAGACATTTAGAACATTAGAAATGAGTTTTATTTTACAGAAACATGTACATACAACAGTGATATTTGGAAGCCCTCTAAATGAGAGTCCTAGAATGATTTTAGAAATATAGAAGCAAAACAATTTGACATAAGATTATTTTGCTTAATTAATAATCATAGTATTATAGAAAGACTCACTTAATTTTGGCATGTCATTGTCTATTTGGCATATTATAGACAATATCTATTGCTTGTCTCGAAAATGTGTCTTGGTCTAAGAATATTTTGATAATTGGTCTAGAAACAAGACTAAATCTCTAAGAAAAGCTTTTTTTTTTGCAGTGTAGATATTAAAGGCTATGATTGAATCATGCTTGATGTTTTTAAATGATTACATATTATATATAATTGTTTATATAAAATACATTTTTGCATGGATCATAGGTTTTGAACATTTTGTTTAATGTTTGTAATACCTTATGTCATTTCAGCCGTCAGATGACGAGAACAGTGACAACAGCAATGAGTGTGTGGTGTGTCTGTCAGATCTGCGGGACACTCTGATTTTGCCCTGTAGACATTTGTGTCTGTGTAACTCCTGTGCTGATACTCTACGCTACCAGGCCAACAACTGTCCCATCTGCAGACTGCGTATGTATATGCTCTCATATGATTCTATATATTAACAAAAGGACAGAATAGCTGAGTTGATCTTCATATGTTGAAGAGCTTTTCTTGTGCGTCTCCAGCATTTCGAGCTCTTCTTCAGATCCGAGCTGTAAGAAAGAAGCCTGGAGCTCTTTCTCCTGTTTCCTTCAGTCCAGTTCTGGCTCAGAGCATGGACCATGATGAGCACTCGGTATGTCACTATCAGTGGTGTAAAGTAACTAATTACAAATACTCAAATTACTGTAATTGAGTAGTTTTTCTCGGGAATTGTAATTTAGTAAGTAGTTTTAAAAATGTGTACTTTCCTTTGAGTCCATTTTTAGTGCAGCAATCAGTACTTTTACTCCACTACTTTCCTTCAACCTGCAGTCACTACTTTATTTTTTCTTGTCTATGGAGATCAGAAAAATCAATCCTGTGATTCCTGTCCAATCAAATCTCACATAGAAGGTGTATCGCCTCATAATCTCAATATAAGGTTGATCAAAAGAAATATATTAATGCTATTCAAATATATAGTATATGAATTGATGTTTACTTGTTTCCAAAATCTTTACACACATAGACCCAGAGACTGTTAAGATGCATGTCACTGATGAGAAGATGACGGATGTTTGCTGTATGATGATCAAAATGGCCTTAAACACCCAGCAGGCACAAGATGTCAACATGACGTCAGAACGAAGTTGTACCCGAGTGTCGTGGGGTTGTTTCATTTTGTTTTTCCATGAAAATCATGAAAGTGTCAGATTTGATGCCAATATGACGTTGGTTTTAGATGTTGGCTCGACATTGGATTTTGTTCACTTTCCAACACAATCTAAAGTCAACCCAACATCCACGTCATTTGATGTTATTGAACAAATAACATTGTCCTTAGACGCTGGCTAGACATTGATTTTTGGTCACCTGACATCACAACCTAAATCTAACCAAATGTTAATGTCTTATGATGTTGTGTGCCTGCTGGGCAATAACTCGATGCACTACAGAATGTTACGTTTACACACACATGCACAAATTACATGTAAACGTATCAGCTTTTTAAAGCGTAACACTCACCACTCTTTTTACTCATACTTTGAGTAATATTTACAACAGATACTTTTACTCTACTTGCACTACATTTTTAGGCAAGTAATAGTACTTTTACTTGAGTATGATTTCTCAGTACTCTTTTTCACCACTGGTCACTATTGTACAATATTTATCCAAAATGATTTGTTATTTACGTAAATAAAAACTATTGGTCAAAAACTTTTCGCTGACTTAAATACAATAAATAAAAAAACTAAGACTAAATACAAACTGAAATAAAAGAATAATTAGCAGAAATTGTTATTTTCCTAATTACTAAGCACTCCACTTGTGTCCGAGGGAAATATCTGAAAGAGTTTTCTGCTTGTTAGGGCTCAGCAGCCTGTAAGCGCATGTTTAGATGAACATTGCTGGAGATGGATCTTAATCTGCCAAAATATAAGCTAGGCTTTAGGCATTTTTAGTCCAGCTCCTGCAAGATTCTGTCCCACTTCCACAAAAACATCTATTATTTTCTCCTCCTCCCAATCGCAGTATTTAAGTTTTGTCCCGATCCTGCTCGCAGGTATACATATGCGTAGTTTCATTTTGACTGTTTCTTTCAGCTACTCTGTTATTTGTTTCACACGCTTCACTTTTGAAAAAGAAACTGAAAATAAACAAATATGTTTTGTTTTATTTGAGTTTAATTAAATCAAACGATGAACACGGACACAATCAAGGAGCTTTTCAGAACATAGACATACAGTCAGAAGTAGGAATACTACAATTGCTAATACCGAATCTAAATGTATAAGAAGTAAACAAATGTTCAAAAAATAAAAGCTAACTAAAGTTAACACAACATAAACTAAACAAACAAAAACTAAACTGAAATTAACCTAATTTATTTAAAGATATTATTGAAATATCAAATGCAGTTCCACATTCCTTGAGGTTAACTTGATTGTTTAATACAAATATAAGAGGATTGAACAATAAACAAATAATTTATCTCAAAAACACTTAAGAATTGTATGTAAGCTAAATTGTCTGTAGTGTATGAGTGTATGGATGTTTCCCAGTGATGGGTTGCAGCTGGAAGGGCATCCGCTGTGTAAAACATATGCTGGATAAGTTGGCGGTTCATTCTGCTGTGGCAACCCCAGATTAATAAAGGGACTAAGCCGACAAGAAAATGAAAGAATGAATGAATGCTCTGTCTTGACATGATTTCATGGTGTTATTCAGAAGTTTTGTGTGTTCCCCCAGAGCTCAGACTCGGTTCCTCCAGGTTTCGAGCCCATCTCTCTGCTGGAGGCATTGAACGGTATGGGTGCTGTTTCTCCTGGCGTTCCCTCAGCACCTCTGTATGACGAGATCAACTTTTCTGGCAGTCTGAGTGGAGAGAGCCGGCAGCTCAGCTCACCTGATCACTCTGGAGACAGTGCAGGACAGAAGAGCAAAGTCAGCAAATCACCTGACAGGTAGACCCCGCCCCCCCCACCAAACAAGTATTTTGGCAACAACATTAGGGCCAAATGATTTTCTTTCTTTCTTTCTTTCTTTCTTTCTTTCTTTCTTTCTTTCTTTCTTTCTTCATTCCTTCCTTTTTTCCTTCCTTCCTTCCTTTTTTTCTTTCTTACTTCCTCCTTCCCTTCTTCTTTCCTTCCTTCCTCCCTTAATTTCTTGGCTTTTCCTTCCCTTCTCTCTTCCTTCCTTCTTCCATTTCTCCCTTCCTTTCCTTTGTTTGTTTGTTTGTTCCTACCTTCCTTACTTCTTTCCTCCCTCTCACTTCCTTCCTTCCTTCCTTCCTTCCTTCCTTCCTTCCTTCCTTCCTTCCTTCCTTCTTCCCTTTCTCCCTTCCTTTCCTTTGTTCGTTTGTTCCTACCTTCCTTCCTTCTTTCCTCCCTTTCTCCCTTCCTTCCTTCCTTCCTCCCTTTTTTTGCTTATTCCTTAATATCTTCCTTCCTTCCTGTCTTTATTCTTTCCTTCCTCCATTTCTCCTTTACTTTCTTAATTCCTTCCTTTTTTTCTTCCTTTCTCCATTTTCCCATCCTTCCTTCCTTTATTCATTCTTTTATTCCTTCCTTCCTCCCTCCCTTTCTCCCTTCCTTTCTTAATTCCTTCCTTCCTTCCTTTTCCTTCCTTTCTTTCTCCATTTTTCATTCCTTCCTCCTTTAATTCCTTTCTTTGTTTTCTTCATTTTTTTCTTTATTTTTTCCTTCCTTTCTTTCTTCCTCCCTCCCTCCCTTCCTTCTTTCCTTCTTTCCCTCTTCTTTTCTTCTTTCCTTTTCTTGCTTATTTCTTACTTAATTCCTTCCTTCCCTCTTTTTCTTTCTTTCTTTCTTTCTTTCTTTCTTTCTTTCTTTCTTTCTTTCTTTCTTTCTTTCTTTCTTTCTTTCTTTCTTTCTTTCTTTCTTTCTTTCTTTCTTTCTTTCCTTTCTTCCTTCCTTAATTCCTTCCTTCTTTCCTTAATTCTTTCGTTTCTTTTGTCTTTCCTTACTTTAATGAACAGAATCTAGTTGTGAATAAATTTATTAATTCATGTGTAGTGCAAAAACGCTGATTTTTGTTTCAGTTTCTGGATAAATAAGCAATGCTGTAAATAACATTCAACTCTGAGTGTAACAGTCTGAGTGATATTATACACAGAAATATTAAGTTTTTTTTTTTTTCAAACATTGTGACAGAAGCACATTATTTTGTATAATGGAGTGTAATTCTCAAAAGGATAATAATTATAATTACTATGTATTTTACTCTCATAACTAAAGGAATAATCACATAATTTCATCTATATTTAATAGGAATAAAATGAGGTATTAATTTTAAAGAGTTGCTTAATTAAGTTATAATTGATTAAATGTAATTATTGTTTTTAGTAATTATTTTAAATAATTATTAATTAAGGATTTTTATGGATTAAAAAAACCCAAATATTATACTTAAGATATATATTTGGTATAAGATTTACCAAAGCTGCAATAATTTGACCAAAAATTAAGTAGAAAATGTACTGTAATATTCTTTACTATTTAAAATGTTAATTTCTATGTATTTTAGTGTCACATAATTCTTTACTAAATCATTCTTATATGATGATGTGATGGCCAAGAACTTTTTCTCATTATTGTTGATGTTAAAAAGTAATACTGGTTATTTTTATGTAAATCTTGTTCAGGATTCATTTTAAAATAGAAAGTAGAAAAAATTTTATTGAAATTTTGTTTACTTAAATACATGCCTACATATGTACATAGTATTCAGTATAAATGAGTACACTTTATTTTGAAAATGAATATTTTGATCAATTTCATTTCATTGATCAAAATGAATATTTTGTCATACATTTTGGTGCATTTACAGATTTATTAAACGGATATATTTATTAAAATAACATTTAGTCCTCAAACATATTTAGAAATAGAAAAATATAACATTTAAATGTTGCCAAAAAAAAAGAAACTTAATCTCTTAAATCTTAAATTTTTTTTTAGATAAGCTCCAGATTTGGCTACAGTACAGACGAATCAAATCTATATGCAAAAATGAAATATTAGCATCCTATATAAAATACTAATTTAAATGATAGATTTGTGAAGGGTGCACTCTTATATGTACACTGTGTCTGAAATTGGAAGGTCACACGTTCAGCATGTACCTCTCTATATCCGAACTTCCTGTTTTAGTAGGAAACATGAAATGCATTAACTCAGGAAAGGAAACAAAACTGTTTAGTGACATCTGTAACATTTCTTCATAAGTGATCTTTGCGTGCTCAGAACTATAATAGACGGCTTATGGCCAGTCATGAGTGGAACTTCCTGCATTAGTCGTGTTATAGCAGGTCATTGACTTCCCCTTTCCGTAAAACTCGGCTTGGCCTTTTGCGAAACATCCTGTTGTCATTGCTGCAGTAAGGAAAATATGTGCAGTATCTCAGGAAGCATGTTTTGGTGGATTCATATTCCAGCTTCCTGTTTTAGCTAGGTATGGTGGAGATGGTGATATTTATTAGCTCTGATTAAATCAGAAAATCTGTTTTATTAGTGTGTGAGATGGCTGAGCGTATCGCTCACCTTTGTGAAAAATCAAAAACATGTCTTCAGTCAGTGTCCATCAGTGTTGCCAGGTTTTTAAAATAAAAGTAGCCCAATGGACAATCAAAACTAGCTCAATCCCTGAACTTAAAATATGACATTCCCATATGTAAAAACTTGTATTTTACATCCTTGAATGCATTATACAGTTTATAAGCAGTATATATAAAAATATATATACATACACACACAGACACACACACACATATATATATACATACACACACACACACATATATATATATATATATATATACATACACACACACACATATATATATATATACATACACACACACACATATATACACACACACACACACACACACACACATATATATATATATATATATATATATATATATATATATATATATATATATATATATATATATTACAGTATATTTGTAATGGCAAACATTTAATTTTCATAAATAAAGTCATCTTACCTTCAGCTGATGACAGTTGATGAACCAAATCCTTTGGCAGATTATGGTGATCATTTTTAAAACGGTTTGAATACATTTGACATATTTGCATACATTAAACATATTAAAGTCATCAAAATGTAATGTATATAAATATTATAAAGTTTAAGTGAAATGGATTGTTTTAGTTGTTATTTAGCAAATCCTGCTAACAGTTACTATGCAAAACAGCCACAGCTGCAGGCCTTGCACAGCCACGCACCCTACATATTTAATTCAGGCCCCATTTACAAGTGCGTTTTAGTTTTAAAACGATGTTTTAGAATGAAAATAATCCGCGTCCACACTAGCGTTTTACCCAGCGTTTCTGAACAGCTCTCCGTCTACACTTAAACACTGAAAACGCACATCACGTGACCACACACACACTCTCGGGCAAGCGCTGCAGCATTTCTACCCAGATGAGGGCTGTGCTGGTCGGACTGCTCATCAAGCATCTCCCGCTGGATCTAATCTCACTATATTTGCTAAACGTGATATTTAATTAATCTTGTTGTCTTTATCTAACGACATATACCCAACTTTGGTCTTTTGAATCTTTGTTCTCAGGTAACGTGTTTTGGCTGAGCGCAAAGAGAAGTTAATGATTAATGTTACCACGTACATTCTGTATATTGACTGATTGTTTGCCTTTATTTCCTATAATGCATAAACTTATTGTGCGTTATACTTTCATAATGGCTATTATTGATTATTAAAACTGACATTCAGCAAAGCAGAATGCTATATAACATCAAGGCAGTGATGTTATATAGGCTCTGTTTTATTATAAATATGCACACAGTGAAGATGACGCTCATATATGCAGCACAACGCCTCAACATTTCTGCTGGCTGTTCAGTTGTTAATATCAAAATGAAAATATATTAGGCAGTTCCTTAAGTCATGTTTTCATTTTATTGCTGAGAAAGTTAAACAACGTAGCCAGGATGATGTGAATAAGGTTATAAAGTACACTGTTCCCTTTGAAGATTCTGTTTTCCATATCAAACTTGCGAAGTCTGAACTTACAAGGAGAGGATGCGAGACTGAACTGTGTGTAGGCTACTTAATATCGAGGAAAAGCCTCAATCAGAGAGGTGAAAATCTGCAGCCCCGCCTCTTTTTTTAGGTGTCTCCGTTTTCTCACATCCACACTGAGACGGAGCAGCAGCGTTTTAGAATGAAAACTGCCTCTTCAGCTTCTTCGAAACGCTCCGTTTTCGGTGCTGGAGAACTCCGACAAAGTGTAGACGGATGGCTCAACCGTAGCAAAACTTATGCGTTTTAAAACGAAAATGAATTGGTGTAAATGCGGCCTTAGTTTGTTAAGCGCAAAGATTTGTTTTGAAACTATTTCTAAATTCAGTTCTAATTTCCATCAAAGAAACAAAATGAACAATAATAATGAAGTGTGGTCAAAAAACACTTTGGAGTTATATCCAAACACGCATCTATTCTTTTGCCCCCTATGTTGATGCATACGTCTACAAAATTCGACAGGTGGAGAAATCTAAACTTGTTTTGTGTAAGATTTGTTTTTATTAAAACAAATATAAATATACGTATAATAAATAACACTGCTAATAATAATACAAATTGTAAAAAAGCAAATTATCATGAATAAACAGGAAAAGGCCCCCTAAGATGAAGAGGGCATGAAGGCAGTGGTTTTTATAATTATGTAGAAAATATCCTGTGTGTACATCCTGTGTGTATTAAGCAATGCGTAAGCATTTAGACCTGCATAAGCGCATAACTGATGTGATCTGAGCTGGACTTTAGACCAGTGGTTCTCAACTGGTTTGGCCATGGGACCCACATTTTTACATGGTCATCAAGCCGCGACCCAAATTTTTAGGAACTAAAATATCATTTCGGAATTATAATTCATTTGTATTTATTTGTTAACATAAACAAGTAGTGATGAATAAATCAAAATGAATTAAATTATAGTAATATTACAGAATAAAAATATCAAATTGAACAGTGGTTAGGGTAAGTAAAGGTTCAGTTACTATTAACTAAACTGAACTGTTAATAAAACATTAACACATGATCCTGTTGAACAGAACATTCATTCAATCGTTTTCTTGTCGGCTTAGCCCCTTTAATAATCCGGGGTCTCCACAGCGGAATGAACCGGCAACTTTTCCAGCAAGTTTTTACGCTGCAGATGCCCCTCCAGCCGCAACCTATCTCTGGGAAACATCACCACACAGACATACTCATATACTACGGACAATTTAGCTTACCCAATTCACCTGTACCGCATGTCTTTGGACTGTGGGGGAAACCGGAGCACCCGGAGGAAACCCACGCGACTGCAGAGAGAACATGCAAACTCCACACAGAAATGCCAACTGAGGCAAGGCTCGAACCAGCGACCCAGCCACCTTCTTGCTGTCTTGCTGTTCTTTTTTGTCGTCAATATATGTAAATCCATACTTTACATATTCGAGGTCGTACTTGCGCTTCGACATATTTGTTGCTATAATTAAATGAAATTTCATGTGTCATACGGTACGGTTGTTGCATGCGCATTTCAAAATAAAAGTCAGATATAAGCAAAATTATTTAAAAATTTAACTTTTGTTTTTTGATCGACCCACTGAAAATGTTCCTGCGACCTGACCCACCAGTTGAGAAACACTGCTTTAGACCATCTTTTAGTTGGCACAATCTATTTCAGTTTCTCAAAATAGCAACAATGCACCTTAACACTCCTCCTTTTTTAGACCGGAACACCCATGAGTTCGTAAAGTGTTGCAAATGGATTTGCTTTTAAACAACTTGGTGCAAACATACAAATTTGGGTTGCGCTGGTCTGAAAATAGCAACAAATCGCGCCAAACACATCTTGCGCCTTTTTGCGCCAGGTATATGATAGGGCCTTAAAGTCTCTTTAAACATTCTAGTAGTTTTCGATCACTGGTAGAATACACATTTATTTGAATAAAATATTTTAATGCCACAATTAGTAAACCTAATATATCTGATATATCAAAGATCAAAATCAGTTTGGCAACACTGGTGTTTATTCACTGCATAATGAATTCTATTAGAATTGAGTTTTAATGTCTCTATTCTTAAAGCTCAAACGGCAAAAATATCCCTGTGTAGGACTTAAGGTGTAGTTGAGTAAATCTGACCAAGCCAAAAAAAATGTGTTTTACTAATCTATATATGAGCATAGACACAAATGTGACATCCACAGTGGAATCCTATTAGTGTAAGTTTCTAAATAAAATATTGAATTTTTTTGAAATTTAAGTTTGTAGGTATATATAACAGAAATGATCCTAATAATTAGTCACATTACGGCAGTTTAGCATCATATGTAACCACGACACACTTAAATTGGCCAAGGTAGCAGAACAAAAACACTCAAAAGCAAAATGATAATTGTTATTGAATATTTTTTCGTTAGTTTTTTTACAATAATTAATATACTAGTTCAAAAATATGTGGTGTATGTATAACATACACCTGGAGATGACTTAATGGCTATTATTAAGTTAATGCGTAAAATATGTCCACATTTAAGTTCCAGTTGATAACGGGATGTGCTGTGTAAAAATTGCTCTGCTTTGATAAGCATCAGAATTGTTTTGGAAGCTCGTGTTCTCTTTCCACTATAAAAGCAGATCATCATCCTGTGGAATGTGTGACACTTGACTTACAAGAACAGTACTTCAGTAAAAGTCTAAATATATCTGTACTACGTGTCATGTATCCACAGCGCCACCCAGTGCTTTCTATGTTATAATGATGAAAAGAGTTTGTTGTTGCCTAAGTGAAGCCACAAACAATTAATACATTATGCACATCGCAGGTCTTGATAGTGTGTGTGTGTGTTTGTTTGCAGCACTCTGCGCTCTCCATCGTCACCCATTCAAGAAGAGGATGAAGAAAAGCTCTCAGAGATGTCTGATGCCCAGGCTCATATGCTGCTTTCTAGTAGTCCCGCACCCACTGAGGTCAGTAGAACAACATGTGTGACATAACACACATGCACACAGCCTTCTGATTGGTTTGCACCTTTCATATGCTTTTTATGTTCTCAGGGCACCGCTGGGGATGATGCGCCTGATTCACTGTCTCCTGAAGAGGGTGAGTAACTTAAAGAGCTGTTGGAATAAATAGTTTGAGAAATTGATTCGAATTTATTCAGATTACATCAATATTCTCTCTTGAATCGATTCCCAGTTTAGTTTTTAATAGCAGATGGCACTCTAGGCTATTTTTTAACAGCAGATGGTGCTCAAAGCTAGTTTTTAACAGCAGATGGCATCTAGGCTAGTTTTTAACAGCAAATGACGCTCTAGGCAATTTTTTAACAGCAGATGGTGCTCGAAGCTAGTTTTTAACAGCAGATGGCGCTGTAGGCTAATTTTTAATAGCAGATGATGTTCTTGGCTACTTTTTAACAGCAGATGGCATCTAGGCTAGTTTTTAACAGCAGATGGCGCTCTAGGCTAGTTTTTAACAGCAGATGGCGCTCTAGGCTAGTTTTTAACAGCAGATGGCACTCTAGGCTAGTTTTTAAAAGGAGATGAAGCTCTAGGATAGCTTTTAAAAGCAAATGGCACTCTAGGCTAGTTTTAAACAGCAGATGGCACTCTAGGATAGTTTTTAAAAGGAGATGAAGCTCTAGGATAGCTTTTAAAAGCAAATGGCACTCTAGGCTAGTTTTAAACAGCAGATGGCACTCTAGGATAGTTTTTAACAGCAGATGGCGCTGTAGGCTAATTTTTAATAGCAGATGACGTTCTAGGCTATTTTATAACAGCAGATGGCGCTGTAAGCTAATTTTTAACAGCAGATGGTGCTCAAAGCTAGTTTTAAACAGCAGATGGTGCTCAAAGCTAGTTTTTAACAGCAGATTACGCTCTAGGCTATTTTTTAACAGCAGATGGCATCTAGGCTAGTTTTTAACAGCAGATGGTGCTCAAAGCTAGTTTTTAACAGCAGATGGTGCTCAAAGCTAGTTTTTAACAGCAGATGACGCTCTAGGCTAGTTTTTAACAGCAAATGACGCTCTAGGCAATTTTTTAACAGCAGATGGTGCTCGAAGCTAGTTTTTAACAGCAGATGGCGCTGTAGGCTAATTTTTAATAGCAGATGATGTTCTTGGCTAGTTTTTAACAGCAGATGACACTCTAGGCTAGTTTTTAACAGCAAATGACACTCTAGGCAATTTTTTAAAAGCAGATGGTGCTCGAAGCTAGTTTTTAACAGCAGATGGCACTGTAAGCTAATTTTTAATAGCAGATGATGTTCTTGGCTAGTTTTTAACAGCAGATGGCATCTAGGGTATTTTTTAACAGCAGATGGTGCTCAAAGCTAGTTTTTAACAGCAGATGACGCTCTAGGCTAGTTTTTAACAGCAGATGGTGCTCGAAGCTAGTTTTTAACAGCAGATGGCGCTCTAGGCTAGTTTTTAACAGCAGATGGTGCTCGAAGCTAGTTTTTAACAGCAGATGACGCTCTAGGCTAGTTTTTAACAGCAGATGGTGCTCGAAGCTAGTTTTTAACAGCAGATGGCACTCTAGGCTAGTTTTTAACAGCAGATGGCATTCTAGGCTAGTTTTAAACAGCAGATGGCACTCTAGGCTAGTTTTAAACAACAGATGGCACTCTAGGATAGTTTTTAACAGCAGATGGCGCTGTAGGCTAATTTTTAATAGCAGATGACGTTCTAGGCTATTTTATAACAGCAGATGGCGCTGTAGGCTAATTTTTATAGCAGATGATGTTCTAGGCTAGTTTTTAACAGCAGATGGCACTCTAGGATAGTTTTTAACAGCAGATGGTGCTCTAGGCTAGTTTTTAACAGCAGATGGCGCTGTAGGCTAATTTTTAATAGCAGATGATGTTCTAGGCTAGTTTTTAACAGCAGATGGTGCTTTAGGCTAGTTTTAAACAGCAGACATCTCTAGGTTATATTTTTGGAGCAGATGGTTCTGTAGGCTAGTTTTTAACAACAGACGGCACTCTAGGCATAGTTACTAACAGCAGCTTTTGGTTTAGGCTCATTTTTAACAGCAGATGGCGCTCTAGGCTAGTAATTTGTTCCATTAATACTATAGATTCTTTTTCAACAGTAGTATATTTTGTGCTCTTAGATAATTTTGTTTCCATTGGTGTGTTGAATCTGTACAGAGGATCACCTGAATCTGGATGAAGAGGCCATGAATGACTGCAGCAGCGAGCACAGCAGCTTTACCAAAACTGAAAGTGAAACGCCTAGAGATCTGTCTCTTCCTGGTGAGAGGATTCACATTTACACACAGTAGCTCACTGCGCATGGTGTGACCGAGGCCTTTACAGAAACGCTTTTGTCTTGAGTATTTAAGAACTCATTGAACAACAGCGTTCATTCTCACTCTTTTGCGAGTTGATAAACGCTTTGTTTCTGGCTCAGCTTGTCTAACCTGTGTGCTGTGTTCCTCGCCTTTCTTCCCCTGTCCTGTTCTCTTGCGGTTTTGCTCTGGGCAGCTCTAGGTCCTGATTCCTGCTCTATTGGTTTGGAAGAGTAACTGGTATGTAGGCTTCTGTGTTCTCCTCTCAGCTCTTCCTTCATGTTCTTATTCTTGTTACCAGTGCAGTTTTGTTATGAAATGAAAAGGTTTTGTTGAGTTTACATCTGACGTACACAATACTCAAGCATCTTCAAACTCCAAAAATAAAGCTTTTTTTTTAAATGATAAGGACTGTTTTAGTTTGAAAATGCTGGTGATCCAATGAGATGCAAACTTTTGAAAACTGGTCCTCTGAACTTCTGCGTATGGTTTACTGATTTGTCAATCCCCTCTCCCATATGACCATTACACCAATTAAGGAGGCACCAATCGACTGGCAAAAAAACTGGAGCTGATGTTTTACCAATTTGTCCTACCTTTCGTTTAAAAAGTAGGTAGTAGGGTTGTCGCGATACCTTAAATTAATCTTACGATACTATATCAGCTGAAGAATCACAATACCAAGTAGTATTGCGATAATGTAATTCATAACTTGAATTATAAAGACAATTGCCAGAAATACTATATTTTATGTTATAATAAGCCTACTTAAATGTAATCAATAATACCCATAAGGCCAAAAAGTATTATTTGCACCTCACTTCACCTAACATTTATTCAGTCTTTTTGTTTATTTTTATAGATAACTGACCAACAAAAATACATTAAAATAATTATATAGAAGGAAATTTGTTACAAAAAAGCATTTTTCTCCAACAAAATTAGGCTATATGAAGTGGTCAAAAATTGTTTCATTGTTTGCTGTTGTTATTTTGGGTTTTTCATATATTTTTTTTTTTTCAGTCTTATCAGGTAACAATTCAGAGTAAATAAAAATTTCACATTGTGAGTAGTTCTTTTAGATTGTTGCAGTTGTTGTAGCTCCTAAATCAAATTAACAGAAACAAAAATGAACCGATTCAGTGTGTTCGAACTGAAGCGTTAGAAAAGGTGCAATAGGTTACCATAAAAGGTGCGAATTCTACACAGTTTTGCAACCTTAATGGGCTTCACAGACTATTCAAATAAAATAGTCTATTGTTACACAAACGTGTGAGCATTTTAGTGACGTTCCACGTGCAACATCAATTGTAGATGAACCATTAATGGCGAATTAATACTAATGTTTACAAACTACAGTGGCACTGGCAGTATTTTGGAGCCGAAGTATCATAACTGTACGTTCACACCGAAAGCGGCGAGAGCGTCCAAGGTCGCTCTGGCCGCCCTGGCGACAACGCTGACTGCCTTCAGCTCCGGCGGCGAGAGCGTCAAAACTCGCTACATTGATCTCGTACTTAAAGGAGCCGTTGCAGCATATCAGTTACATTCATGCATAAGACATGTTTCTAGCGTGAAAATGTTGCGCACTTCTTATCAAATTCATATAACAATGGAAGATCAAGTTGCATGTGGTGTGGCTTTGTTCTATTTATCCAATATGTGTCCATATATCTGAAATATCCTGAAGCAGCAGTACTGTTTTGTACTGTCACATCACGTAAGATTCCCGCTTTAACTTGCCAGTAACTTATTTAATGTATGTTCCTGTAAGAAAACATTGTAAATAATTGGAAATCCGGTGACCGCAATAATCAAACCCTTGGGAACAACTGTGGTCGGAACCAAAGTTCACAGGTCTGTGTTCCCTGAACTACTATCAAGCGGTGGACGTCTTTATTCTGATTGCTTGCCGCCGAACCACGTCATAGCTCATTACCATAAAGTTGACTTCATTTCAACTCTCCTCGACGCTCACGCCGGCGAAGACGCGCCGCGCTGCTCCTTGCCGCTTATCGTCGCCTATCGCCGCCGGCTCTCATTGAAAATGAATGACTTCCGGCTACTTTGATGCTCTCGCCGCTTTCGGTGTGAACGTACGGTAATACTACCATCGTACCGGTAAACTGTGCAACCCTGGTAGGTAGCACATTATGATGGTCAAATATGCTGTTTGAATGTAAATTTAAGTGTAAATTTTATGCTGTGATATGTTGAATATTGCCGTAACCCCAACATCAGTGGTATATTCCTATCAAAACAAATGAAAATGTTTGCTATTCCGACTAATAGTCATTTTCTGATTACATTTTAAACCACCATTAAATTAATCAATTATTAATCTTTTCAAGCTCAAACCTAATCAATCTAATAAAACTGGTAATTGAGAGTTTTCAAGTGCTTTCTTAATTTTCCCATAGCTGTAAATCACAGCATGTTTTATAAAAAAGTGACTTTTATTCAGTACAGCATATTAATTGGAACAAAAGTTGTACAGATTTATTTGGAAATCAGATTGCTGCTGAATAAATCGTTATTAATCTTTAACATTGACAGACTAAAGAATTGAAATAAACTGATGGAGATTTTCAAGCCATAGAATGAGCAGGAGTGAACTTGACAAGCTGTTTCAGACTTCTGAACTGGATTCCAAACAAACGTCATTTTGTCTTGATGTTGTTCACTCCTGTGTTTAGCTTTAATCGTTTATAAGCAGAGTAGCTATTAACTGCATTAACTGCTGTTCCTGTAGGGTTTTCTGACTCATCTGAGAGTCTGAGCACTCAGAGTACCTGCTGCTCCAGTCAGCCGCTCCTGGGTCCCTCAAGCCATTTGCACATGGACGATGAAGAACTGGATGTTTAACCATACAGGACCATCACCCTCTCCCAAGTCTGTGTCCAGCCCTTCCACAGTTTCCACACTGCAGTTTGATGCACTCCATTCCCAGACTCTGGCTTTAAATATGACTGACTCTAATATATTGTGTAAGCGGATGCAGCCTTGGAGATATCTTCTGGTGGTCTGACATAATTATTGTGTTTTTCTATATTAGGGCTCATTTTCATCAAGTTGCCTACTTTATTCATCCAAAAATCCGAGAATACCTTAATGTAATTCAAACCCTGCATCAATTAGGTGAAATGTTCATGCTTTTATTATGCCTACAGAGAAAGTGGATGGTCATCTATGTTACTTAAAGGGACAGTTCACACTTAAAAAATGAAAAACCTGCCATCTTACCTTTTTTCAAAACCTCAGTTGCTTTCTTTTGTATCAACAAAACAAGATATTTAGAAAAATGCTTGACCTGCAAAGCAATTTATTTTCCTACTCTGGATGTTGATGGGTGCAAGCAACCAGCATTCTTCAAAATATCTTCTTTTGTGCTTGACAGAAGAAAGAAACTCAAAAAGCTTTAAAACTATATCAGGGAGAATAAATGATGAGGTCATTTTCATTTTTAGGTGAACCATCCCTTTAATAAGTTTCAAGAAAAGCTCTACAAATTAAAATGTTACATATCAATCAAGACTTCAATGTTATATGCAAGTCTTTTGAACTTTTATAAAAGATTTATGTGAGGAACTGATTAATCAAAAACTCTGAATATCTAAATAGCAGGTTAGACTAATTTCTTAAAGCCAGGGATGTCAAAATTCAGTCCTAGAGGACCGGCGTCCTGCTGAATTTAGCTCAAACTTGCGTCAGCACACGTGCCAGTATGTTTCTAGTATATCTCAAATTCTAGTATAACTTAAATTTACCTGCCCTTTAAACCGAGTTGAAGTGGGTTGGAGACTCTTATATCTTGCTTGTCGGATGTGAAAGCCTAGTTGTCTTCGAACTTTGTAGATTTTAATGAGAGTAAAACTGAAATAATTGAGTTCGGCCAATCAAATTCTTCTAGGACATCAACAGTAAATCTTGGTAAATCAAGCTTTTCTGTGAAGCCTTGGGTAAAATATCTGGGGTGTTATCTTTGATGATAGCTTGAGCTTTGATGGACAGATAAACACAGTGGTCAAAAATTCTGCTTTTTTCAGCTTCGACTTTTAAAAACAGTCAAATCTATAAACATTAAAAATAATAATACATGCTTTTTTAACTTTAAGGCTGGACTACTGTCAATTCTATCCCATTTACAGTTGATACAAAGTGCTGCTGCAAGGCTTTTAACCGCTACCAGAAACATGAGCACATCACACCAGTCTTGCACTCTGTGCACAATCGTGTCACTTTTAAAATTCTCTCTAAAAAACTCTTGTTTTTTTTTTAAAAATCTCTAAATGACCTGGCACCTTGGACTGAACATCAGCCTGGTCGGTCTCTTCGATCATCAAACCAGAGATCATTATGCATCCTAAGTCGATGAAGGGGTGAAATGCAGCAGCTTGACCTAGATTGTGCAATGCTCTGCCCCTCTGTATTAGATCTATATCATCTCTGTTTTTAAATCTAGGTTGAAAGCTTACCTTTTTGATTGGTCAAAAATAGTTGATCAGTCAAAATTGTATAATAGTGCTATATAAATAAAATCGACATTGACATCTAGCTTAATGAACTGGTTCAGATGTGTTTAGGGTTGGAGCTAAACTCTCCAGGACATCGGCTCTCCAGGACCGAGTGTGGACACCCCTGCTTTAGAGCATCACCATCCATCTTTTCATACAAAAAAAATGACACTACAGGGTTATGAATGACAATAAGGTCAATAAATAATGATCATTTCCTTTAGTGAGTGATAGTTTTGGATGTAATTCTCTTAAAAACGTAACTGTTTTGTTTACATCGGTGGTTTAAAGAATGTTAAACATCCGCCGATTCTTTCCATTCCACGAACAGTCGTATTATTGATTATTATTATATATTTTAAAGAGGATCATTTTATGACTCATCTAAGTTAAACAGTGGAGTTTTACCATTTTTTAATACATTCAGTCAATGTCCAGGTCTGGCAGGAGCACTTTTAGCTTAGCATAAATCATTAAATCGGATTAGACCATTAGCACATCACGCTGAAAAAGAATTGTTACGCTAAAAGTGCTCCTGCCAAACTCTAAGATTAAATGACTGGATAAAAAATGTGAAAATTCAACTGCTATAAAATGAGCCCATTTCCAAAAAAAAAAAAAATGTGGAGTGTTGTTTTAAGAATTTTTGAACCAGAATGAAAATAAGCTTTATTTTTAAGAGCGTAGCCGAAGATTAAGAACACCATATCAGTGCTTGGTCATACAATGCTATTACAGAGCTTCTATCCAGAAATGTAACACTAACCAAGCCTGTTAAGGTTAATATACAAAGCACATTTAAATAATGAATAAATAACCTACTCATTTCAGGATATCTGTACAACTCTATAAACGATCATGTGTTCAACTAATTAGTGAAAAACTACAGAAATGTATATCTTTAACTGTTCCTTTGAAATGCTTTTAAATGTCCTGAACTTGTTTGTGTGTGCTGACTAAAGACCAGAAAAGCACTTATACAGTACATACAAGATCATTATATATGAGGATTCAAATGTAATATTTATAGTGATTAAATATACTGGTGGACTTTTGTCAGTTTAATGACCAAATATTGTGTGGTCTATAACAGTGCTTTAAACGTGCTTGCTTGTTTCTGTTCTGTAAAACTTTAAGGACTAAAAAAAAAAGCCATGGTGGACTCTATTTACCTCTTTGTTTGCTTATAAATATCGTAACATAATTTTCAAAATATTTCAATGTGTGATGGAAGACTTTTTCACGTGTCGGTTCAGATGTTATTGATTCGTTTTAGCGTGAAGGCTTTGTGAATATTTGACTGGTTTGGTTGTACTTTACAGCTGGACTTTGTATTTTTGTGAAGGAGAAGAACAGCTGAATGAACAAGTCACAGGAAGCATGAAATCTCATTGTTCTCCTCAAACATGCAGATATGCAGTGTCTTGTAACATTATGCATAGAGGTTTATGTGCCTTTGAAGAACCAAGCAAGTGTTGCTGCAGCTTTTTCGTGCCCATAGCTGTGCTGTTCTTGTGTTCATTTCTGCTGTTCATCTTTAAAGCTGTAACCTTTAGCCTTGACTACATTTTTGCATTAGATGTGAGACTGATGTTCTTATTTTTAACGTCCATTTTGAAGAGCGGATCACTTTCTGTTTATATTACGTGGGTTGAAACCTATCGCTTATTATACTGAACAAATGCAAATAAACTTTGTAATGCTGATACTTAAAAGGATTTCTTTTTGTCGTTAGTATTGTAGCTGTTAAACTGGTTAATTTTCAAGAGTTCACACTTAGCTGATGATTAATTATAAAAGCTTGTTTGGCATGCTGTCCCGGGAGAGAGCCCTGAGCTCATGAGATCCTCGAGCCTAGGGCTCCCTCCCGTTGCAAGGCAGTAGGGGAGTTTGAGCTCAGGTAGATCTCGAAAACTCCCCTGCTGTAGCAAGTGAATGCTCTTGAAATTAATTACTAACTAGAAGCATGTCTATGCTGACAATTTGGATTGTTCAATTGACTTAATTGCATGTTTTTAGGCGGTGAGAGGAAACCGGGGAACCCGGGGCAAACCCACGTGAGCACGGGGAGAAGTGCAAACTCCACACAGAAATGTCTGCTAGTTTTGGTAAAGCCTGGAACCAGAGACATTCTTGCTGTGAGGCGACAGTGCTAGGCACTGGGCCACCGTGTCACCCGTCTAAGAAGGAGGAGCAGGGGAGGAAGGGGGGACTCTTCAAAACGAAGATAGCAATGGAATAAACCACAGGGTATTTATGGTAGTTTAGGAGTCATTTGATTGGTCGTAGTGAATTAGATAATGCGGGTCAGCTGCTAGCAATCATAAGCACGTGATCCTCTCGAAATTTGTTTATACATAAACTTCACATAATGGGTTGTTATTCCTTAAATGTTGGATTTATCACAGTGTGAATATATGCACATCATAACTACCACAGAGCAACTGTAATATGGAAAATATTTCACTTTGCACTTGAAGTGTTTCATAATTCTAATCTACCTGTTGTGCAACACGTCACTAGACGACAAGAATAATTTAACAAATATTCAAACCTATATTCAATATTGTTTAAAAAACATTATTTTAATTTCGCAGGGCACCCAAGATGTAGGTATCATTTTGTTTTCTTTAGTAACATTAAAGAACTCTTTTAGCTATGTGATTCGCATCTTCATACATATTCAAGGAATTTCCTTCCCTTTTTAGCATCTGAATCATTTCAATGACTGAAACGTGACTTAATCATATTTAATTTAATTACGTTTTATTTAAATATTTTAAATTATGATTTCCACTTCAGTACAGAGCAATCCTAAAGCTTTTAAGACATCTCAACCGCTGAAAAAAAATGTATAATTTACATGATTATTGAGTTAAATGTGTTTACATTTTTGTTAATTTCCTTCTGTGCAGTTTTATAATTCTGCATTGCCCTACATAAATTAGTCATAAAAATGCACAGCACTTTAAAATGTATGGGGGGAACTTAAGTGTGTACACTTGTTGTTTTAAACCGTTTTTTCCCTTCTTGCTGGGAATTCATTCGTGGTGGGCCAAAAAACAAAATGGTGGAAATCAGATTGTTTACGTTTTGGAGCTTGGTGAAAGTCATAGGAATGCGTCAATGGCACCGCCATCTTGGTACAGGGTAGCGCTCCTTTGAAGTTAATGCGGGACCAATGTACAGTGAAGGACTGTGGCCATCCAAAGCCAGGGATATACACACTTACACATTTATCTATGATCGGGAGTTTTCCTGGATGTTAGTATGAAATTTTTTTTTCTAATTACGAAAATTATAATTTTACATTTAATTTAATAACATTTTATTTAAATATTTTAAATTATGATTTCCAGACTTCAGTACAGAGTAATCCTAAAGCATTTAAGACATCTCAACCGCTGAAAAAAATGTGTAATTTACATGATTATTGAGTAAAATGTGTTTACATTTTTGTTCATTCCCTATGCAGTTTTATAATTCTGCATTGCCCTACATAAATTAGTCATAAAAAGGCACGGGGGGGGGGGGGGGGGGGTTGGGGGGGGGACTTAAGTGTGTACACTTGTTGTTTTAAACCGTTTTTTCCCTTCTTGCTGGGAATTCATTCGTGGTGGGCCAGAAACAAAATGGTGGAAATCAGATTGTTTACATTTTGGAGGTTGGTGAAAGTCATAGGAATGCGTCAATAGCACCGCCATCTTGGTACAGGGTAGCGCTCCTTTGAAATGGATGCGGGACCAAGGTACACTGTAGGACTTAGGCCATCCAAAGCCAGGGATATACACACTTACACATTTATCTATGATCGGGAGTTTTCCTGGATGTTAGTGTGCAATTCTTTTTTCTAGTTACGAAAATTATAATTTTACATCACTTTTCTACATTGATGGATCAGTGACCGCACGGGCATTCCTGACAAAAAGCTTGTGTTTGTGTGTACAGAAATTTACTATTCACCCTCCCTGTTAAATTTGATCTAATCATGTCCTGAAACACAGCTCCTCTCCTGCTTTCACTTCTCATATGACGGAGGGAGCGATTCGTTTGTGAATGAATCCCTCGAACGACTCTTTCACTATCCGACACGAATACAAGTTTCTGGCAGCGCAGCATCTCGTTGTCATATTTCTTTTTCATTGTTTGCTGATTTTATTCAACAAAACTAGCATAAGCCGAGTGTTTAGTGCGAGTTGGAGCTACTTTGCCTTTTGGTGAATGCAGTAAGTGACAGTATCGATAACGTTATCTGATTAGCACAAAACTTCAGAACATACAAAAACAGAAAAAAAACTTAATCTTAAATAACACTGTGTTGACTAGTGCGGTTGAATGACATTTGTCCTGGGAGCACTGTACCAATGTGGCGCCGCTATTGACGCATGCTCAGGGTCCCTATGCGATATCTAGTGTATATATCTATGGGTGAAAGTAAGTAACGTTAGGTCTAAAAGTAGCCTGCTATATTTAGTAAAAGTACGATAAATAAAAGTAACCTTTTTTCTTAAAAAGCTCATTCAATCAACACAATAGCACTGTAAACGTGGCGCGTAGTGGTAAATTACAGTATTGCAACGTTGGCGCTAAAACCAAACGCAGAAACTAGTCAACAGACAAATGAAAATGAAGGATGAAAATAATCAAATTATTATATACCTTCAAATGTAGATAAAGTTAAAGATAAGATGACTCCAGAACAACTGTAAAGGTGTCATGATCGTCGAATGTACAGGAGTGAGGTAAAACATTGTGGACGTCTTCTGCTGACAGGAAATTCCCATAACAAACATGGATGAATGCTAGAAAGTAGATAAGACAGACATTCAGTCATTATATTAACCAGACAGCCTTCGTGGCCATTGCCTGTGCATGTTAACAGCTCCTCAAATAGTCTCAAAAATAATGAGTCATGCGCAGTTTGCATAATGACTCAGTAATGACTATTAAGTCTTTGTAGCTTCTATAAAACAAAACACTCAAGGTTAATGGCGATCTGTTGAAAGTTAAGGATAGATTTTTGTTCTGACAGTCATTGTCTCTATTAAATATTTTTAAACAAAATACTAAGAATCATAATAGCCTACTAAATATAACAATCTTATAGTACTGAATAATGAGTCTTTTTGGGTCTTTTTTGTTATTGATATTTTTAAAAAGCTGTTTGTTAGCGCTGGCATGTTAGCTGGTTGATCCTGTGAATTTTTTTGTAGTAATTTCCAAAACATTCCAGTTTGGTTATTACTCAACAGAATAAATCTCTTTTGTTTTTTTTTTTCTTCAGAACATTGAAGGGAGTTTTTTTTGATGGTGTTTGACAATTTAAAGAGAACATAAAAGAGGGTTTTACCGGAAATGTACTATCTTACTACTGATGACTTTGCTACCTTCTTTTGCACCAAAACTGCAAAAATCAGTGCTCAATTTGCTACACCTACAACAAACACGCAAGATACACCACCAACACCACACACACTCACCTCTTTTTCTCAGCTGTTTGAGTCAGAGGTGACCAAACTCGTGCTATCTAGCATGCAACCACCTGTCCACTCGATCCCATTCCCTCTCATCTCTTGCAAGCCATCTCTCCTGCAGTCATACCAACACTGACTCACATAATCAACACATCTCTTGACTCTGGTTTATTCCCCACTTCATTAAAGCAGGCTAGGGTAACCCCACTGCTAAAGAAACCCAACCTGGATCAAACGCTACTTGAAAACTACAGACTGGTATCCCTGCTTCCATTCATGGCCAAGATTCTGGAGAAAGTCGTGTTCAATCAAGTCCTGGACTTTCTAACTCAAAACAACCTAATGGACAACAAGCAATCCGGCTTTAAGAAAGGCCACTCAACTGAGACTGCCCTGCTCTCAGACGTGGAGGATCTCAGACTGGCTAAAGCAGACTCTAAATCCTCAGTCCTCATCTTTCTGGATTTGTCAGCTGCTTTTTGACACTAGTTAGCCACCAGATCCTGCTATCTACGCTCGAGTCACTGGGCGTTGCGGGCACTGTTATTCAATGGTTCAGATCTTACCTCTCTAACAGGTCATTCAGGGTGTCATGGAGAGGAGAGGTGTCCAACCTACAGCATCTAAACACTGGGGTACCTCAAGGCTCTGTTCTTGGGCCACTTTTCTTCTCCATCTACACAACATCTCTAGGACCAGTCATCCAGAGACATGGATTCTCCTACCACTGCTATGCTGATGATACCCAGCTATTCCTCTCTTTTCACCCTGATGATCCCTCGGTTCCAGCTCGCATCTTAGCCTGCCTGTCAGACATTTCACACTGGATGAAAGATCATCATCTTCAGCTTAACCTCGCAAAAACGGAAATGCTTGAAGTTTCTGCCAACCCGACTCTACATCATAACTTTTCAATCCAGGTGATTGGGGCAACCATCACTGCTGCCAAAATGATAAAAAGGCTTGGAGTAACGATTGATGACCAACTAAACTTCTCTGACCACATTTCTAGAACTGCTCGATCGTGCAGATTTGCACTCTAAAACATCAGAAAGGTCTGACCCTTCTTATCTGAACATGCAGCTCAACTCCTTGTTCAAGCTCTTGTTCTCTTCAGACTGGACTATTGCAACTCTCTACTAGCGGGGCTTCCGGCTAACTCTATCAAGCCTCTTCAGCTGCTCCAGAACGCAGCAGCACGAGTGGTCTTTAATGAACCTAAAAGAGCACATGTCACTCCG